GTTGGCCAGCACAATAAAGGAACAATAGTTATACAAGGTTATTGTAATTTAAAAATGTGACACCTATTTTGCAGCTATGGGAACCATTTTTATGGAAAACGCATGTAACAAGGTGGTATGATCACGTTACTTACAACGTTGTTACAGGGAGGCTTTAAATGACTGTAAGCAAAACAAGTATTTTCAGCAGTTCTATTTATTAAGGGAACCAAAGTACACAGTAACATATTTTTAATAACAAAAAAATACGTTCTAAGATCATCAACGTGTTTCGAAACCAAAACTGAAACTTAAATAAATATTACTGGGTTGCAGTTAATTTCTCATAAAATGTTACATACTTAAGCGGAATATAATCACTCATATCTTCAAGGTTCTTTAATTTTTCATCTTTGATTGGAAGAAGGTTGTGATATATTATAGGTAATTTTTCAGATGATATGATATCAGTGGCAAAAGTCATTGTTCCTTTTCTTTTACGATTGCTTATGAGAAATGAATTCCAGGGCTGCATAATATTATGAGATTTTCTCATTCTCAAAGTAGCTAGAGAATCAGCGGTAAGTTGCAGCCACAATCCTTGTGTAATTTTACATTTGGGGTATTTCCATATACAATATTCCAAAGCTGTTAAATTCTCAAAGAAGGCTTGGTGCATTCAGACAACTTTAAAAGGATTTTTAACTTTGGCTTTAGCAATGACACCGACCCACTGGAATGGTTCATAAATCATAGATATTCTTTTTTGTTTACGTACATATAACGTTGTTACGCGGAAGACTGAAATGGCGCGCTTTACAAATTCGCGTCACAGTGATTGATGCGAGTAAACAGGCGGGTCTATGTTGTCAACGGGTCCCAATAGGCACATACTACGTTGTTTTACGGAAATCTCATTTTATAGAAAAATGTTATATACAACGTTGTTCCGGCCGACCCTTCATATATTTCTTATATATTTCCCGTATATTTGCATTTAAAAGAATGATATTTCAAATACACGAATCCCGCGCAACGTCGATACACCAGCTCCGAAATCTGATCGATGTCCGAGTCGCGCCTTGACCGATGGAGATGGGTGGCTGGAGATGGAGAGCAGCGTGCTTTAGTCATAGCAACGATGCCAGATAGTCGGTACTGTCGGAAGTATAGGGGAGATATATCGAGATTGCAGCGTATAAGTGGGTGGGTACTATGAACTTATTTCATAGGCCTGATTGACTGACTTGATCTATCAAGTTAAAAACATTCCATACCTTTTTTCCACATTTATCTAGGTTCGATTCAGGGCGTAATAATAAAAATATATTCCTAAAACTCCAAAAGGTCTCAGTCAAAAACATTTCATAACTTTGTTTAACATTTATATATGATCGTTTCATGGTATATAAAAGAATATTCCAGAAAGACCAAAAGGGCTCAGTCAAAAACATTCCATACTTTTTTTCTACATTTATATAGGATCGCTTCAGGGCGTAATAAAAAAATTAGACTATACAATTTTGTAATCAGACAAATTCAATCTCCTTTTCCAAGTACCAAATAAAAGCATCCCTAATTTAAAGGTTTCTTCATTCCTCCCGCCATTTTGATGCAGACCAATATTTGAAAGTTTCTGTATTTGTAACACCCGTTTTACAGACAGCAAGAGCGATAAAACATGTTGATCAAACGCAAGCGCACTAACAAAACAGATGTTCCTTCCTGTCATTTTCAAGCAACTGCCGGGTTCTTGCATGAAAATCAATCAGTTGGATTTTTCATGCAAGTTTATCTGCAATTTTAATGGAATAGTTAGTAACTAAGTGTTTGCAAATGCCCCATGGCCGGAACGGTAGTTTGTTTGGTTATATTTAATTGTTTACAGATATGCGTTTGATTGTGTCTGTCTTGATGTTGGATGGTCGGCGATTGAAACTAGATTTTGGATATTAAAACCATGTGTTCTGAAGGAGAAAAGATCTAAACCAAAATTCTTGTAACTGCAAGAACTGGAGACTGTAAAACGATTTTTAATGTGTAGAAACAACCACCCAATCAATGTTGGGCAAACAAAACTCATCCCCATCAAAACCTGTGTTTTCTCATAAACAAAGAATATTTCGCCTCTTATAGTTCCTTAGATCTGAATCAGTTTTTAAAGCTCTATAAAAAGTACAGACAACGAGGACTGACAGCTATATTCCTCAACTTTGACCGACGATAGCTTAAGATCTGTCCACTATCGAACTTTGTGCCCACGGGACTTTGGATGCCATAACATTACAATATACAGGGAAAACCAAATTTGTCTGACGGCTTGGGTTCAATGTGTACGAGAGTGAAACGCGCGAGAGATGTGTATCAACACACCATGTCAGAAAGAGATAGAAGCCGGCTGAAGTGCGAAGCTCATCACCACAATGCCTAGCAACGATGACGCAGAAGGTCGTGCAATCTGCTGCGTTGTCAATCTGTTACGTACCAGAAAATGTTCGCACAGACTTCTACAATAAGTTAGCTTAATGTTAAACCCAAGGAGGTCTGTTCGAACATTTAATTTAATATTGTTTTCATTTTGATTAGAATTATTTTCGCAGATGAAAAAACCATTTAGAATCAGGACGACGCTCCCCACTGAGCGCTAGATGGATACTGACCAAAATCGCTCATCTATAATCATGGAGGTGGAAACCTTGCCTTGGAATGTATGAGATGTGGTATTGCCGGGCGAACCAATGATGCAATGTTGCAGAATCTGTGGCGAACCTGTCCTTTCATTTCGACCTAAGATGGAGCGCCGTTAGGACCGATTCAGAATCGTTCCTAAACATATTCGACACAATAAAACCATTATTTGGGCGTAGAGAATAAACTAACGCATATTTTCAACATGCATCTTAATTCAAGAAACTGGTGTAACATATTGACAACGCGGCACATTGCTGCGTCAGCGTTGCTAGGCCAGTCGGTGATGAGCTTTGCTATCCAGTCGGCTTCTATTTCTTTTAACATATGTGTCTATACACACTTCTCTCTCGTACACATTGAACTCAAGCTGTCAGACAAATTTGGTTCTCAGTGTATTAGAAATTAAGCAAATTCCACCGCAGCCCTTTCCCGTATATTTTGTGCCGTATTTACAATAATACAATATTTTTTCTAGAACTAAAAGGCGCTGAATGATTATAGCCAAGGCCGCACAATGCTGATATACATAAACAGATACATGATAATCGTATGACGGAGATCCTCGGCAACATATTAGCAAATATTTGTATGCAAACATATAGTATGTGCTTAACCTTCGCATCAGATAATTCCGCAGCCAGACGAGATTAAATAATGCAAAAAAATTCTAGTTGGGAATCGTGTTCCTATAAGGGGCCCCAATTTCATAAAAATGCCTTCGGGGAGACAATGAATGAAATTCACACTCTACCGGCATCAGCGGCGTATCACAGTGGAATTTTTGCTTTCATTTTTATTTGGCTTTTATACATATTCCGTATTTCTTAGTAGTGGTTCAATAACAGCGCAGTTTAGAGCAAAATATGTAATCTTCATTTTTGTAGGGTTTCGGGTTTCTGGTATGTCATTTATTAACACGTTAAACGCCAAGCAAGATGTTAGAAAAATGTCAATTAGGCCAAAGCTATGTTTCCAACAAATAATGTGTCTAATCTACCGTCTACGTCAAAAGCTGACACAAGTCGGGAACGACATGCGCTGAAAAAAGAAGACGGAAAATCACATGAAGTCAGACGGTATTGTACGGGATATTATAATGAAAAATAAGGGGTGAAATACCAAAAAATAAAATTCCAAAAGTTACTACATATTGTAACAGTTGTAAAGGAAAATTTATTTGCCTTGACTGTTTCGGAACAAGTCATAAATAAATGAAATTGTCTTATATTTTGTATCCCTATATCATAACTTATTTTATATACCTATATGCATTTTCACTGGAATCTTGTTTGTTTTTGTCAAAGTTGTTGTGTAGATTTAGTAGGAAATTAAATACAAAGCGGTCCATACGGACCGCCGTGGCGTGATAGGCTCGTTGTCAAGCGGTCCCATAGGACCGCCATGGCGTTTAACATGTTAAATGTAAATTTATTGGAGATCAATATTTAAAAAAAGACAACTCTAATGGCGCCCACAATTTTTGACTACCTAAATTTAAACGATTTTCAACGTTCCTCGAAATGAATAAATGTGAAAGCTATTGTATTTAGCAATCTCGAATTTCGAACTCAAGTTTTAATGAATTTTGGAAACAAGTTCACTACCATGCCAATGAAGAAAAAGCTTTGTAAGTATTTAAAATTAATCCAATGGTGGGGGAGAAGGTTACGCGCGAAAGAAAAAAAAACAAAACATCTAAAATACGTTTTTAATTTTTTTCCAGTTTTCGATTCTGATTTATGAACAACACTTTTTGATGACTCAAAATTCAAATAGAATCTAAATTTTACTTTTAGAAATTATTTAGTTTCTTAATAACTCTTGGGTGTAGCCAAAAATATATTTTATGGGAGTACAAAGTTGGGCAAAGTTGGAGATATCACTAATGACGAATTGATGCAGAATTTTTAGAGGTGTGTTCTAATACATTCGTAGGAAGTCCTGAGTCATCTTCATGTTTGATTACATTTTGTTTTGGTGATGAAGAATATGTACAATGTAGAGCATAAAGAAACCTTGAAAATGTAAACTCATTTTTCAAGTTGGCGATATCACTAATGACGAATTGACGCAGAATTTTTGCATATACATTTTTTTAAATTTCATTTTTTGAACGTTTTTTGAATCCATCAATTATTTTGATGCAGTTTCAAAAACATCTAGAGAGGAGGAAGTCCTGAGTCATCTATTTGATTGCATTTTATTTGGTGATGAAGAATAGTACAATGTAGAGTAGTAGCATAAAAAACCTTGAAAACGTAAACTCACATCCAAGATGAACTAACATTAATTTACTAATTACGCCTAAACATGAAACTATTAAAAAATACCTAGGGACATATGGGGTGGACCAAATCCCCCAAGACTTCTGCTCCAATGCTGAGCTTGTGCCCCTTGTATGATTGCCGTCACCGACATCATTCGTTTCTCCTTCCTCATCATCTTATCACACCGAATCTATCACAGAATGCTGTCAAAACAAATATCCCGCACGGCTGCAGTCAAGAGAACATTTTATCACGATCGTTTTGACAGTTTCTCGAGCAGTTTGTCACACGACAACGGGTGCTTACGGAAAAACGCAATAAAGCTGAGGCAAGGTCGCGGTGCGCCGTGGAAATGTGACGCTCGTCGTCGACGCTCGCCTTCTGTTTCCTGACGCGTAGCGTTCGCGACTGGCAGGCATTTCGCGAAGTTCGTGAGCAGCTGCGAGAGCAACCGCGAAGCGCCGTCGTCGCGGTGTTGCCGGTATTTGAGTCATGAAATTCCCTTTTTCGCACCCATAATTTCGAAAGAAAGCAAGGAATTTAACTTTCACCAAAAATTAATTTGCTTGAATGTGAAGTTTCCTAACTTTTCGGCTGCTTCAACAGCTCTTTGAAAAATGGTGCAAAGTGGTAGACTCGGTTCCTCTAACACGCAATTATTTCACTACTAACCTGACTTTACCGCCATTATTGACAGGATTCATATAAAGATAAGTTACATTTTTCGCTCTAGGTACATAATGATAACGAAAAAACCCTAGCTACATGATGCATGTGTGCATGTGCATGTATAACTTCTATGGCTCGTTGGGCACATAATTCTTATTACTTTTAAACCTTTTCTCCATTTTTGAATATTACTAATAATTTTGGTTAGTATGAGTAAATGCAGAGTCTATTTTATAACTGAAATTGTTGTTTTTATTTTGACAGCTTGAAAATCCCAGGCTACTTGATAAATTGGAATGATGTGTCGGACGCACCTTAGACCCTAGCCCTAGCACCTTCCATTTTTATCGCACACAAGTCCCGTTTTATTATGCACAAATAGCGTCGGCTTTATCTGACAGTATTGTCGGACGTTAAGGAAATTATCAGATATGTTATATTTCAAAATATAATAAAATCAAATGTAGTAACATATGGTAGTAAAAAAATCTATACACACTTCGGTTGAGAAGACCATAACGTCCTCGTACATCATGGCTCCGACGCTATGCATCTCAAAATGTAAAAGTCCTCGGCTAATATTGGCATACTTCTCTACCAAGATACTTAAAGTAGTATTTGTTGGAATTATGTTTTTATAGTAACTTTTATTAAAGTATACCTTGTTTTAGACTTCGGAGTTTTTATGTGTATATAATTATTCAAATACATGACAGAAAATTAACTTTGTAGAGGTTTTTTAAGGGCTGAATATCAACTTGAATTATTCCAGAAGTGACTTTTGCTGCAAACGCGCGTTACTATGTAGGACATCTGTGGTATGGTGTAATACAAGTTATCCAAAATATTTTTTGAAGATCTGTTCAAAATATCTCGGAAGCTGTCTCCTGATTTTCGTCAAGTTTTGTCTGTTTCTAATGCTTGGTAGGAGACACAATGTGAAATTTGAAACAATCGCACGACATCCGTAATTCAATAAAATTTCAAATACGACACCGGTTTTCCCTTTCCATTGTACAGAAACTTTCCGAGAATACGAAATTGAAGGAATAATAACCATGGAGGTTGAAGAATTATCTTTCCTAGGAAAGCTAATGGCATGTTTAAGAATAAGCACCTTTCCTTGAAAGGAAAATAGGGACTGCTTTCATTACCTCCAAGGAAATTCCTGCAATTCTACTTGGCATCATTGGTGTGATAATGCAAATTGTAAGAGAATGTTCAAATACAGAGTATGGTTGGACATGTTTTTGAAGAATACGTTACGGTTTTACGTATCACAGAGGTCCTTTTCGAAAAGGGGATTTTTTACAAAAAAAAAACATGATTTGCATAATACCATAAACTCCTTTTAATGAATTTGCATGCGAAAACGGCGTAAAAATTGTTTAAGCAATTTTTTAAACAAATTCCAATAATTGGGACGTTTTGAAGAAAAAAGTCCTTATGAAATTTTATCTGGACTTGATAGTATTCGAGATATAAGTGATTTAAAGTGCCATTTCTGACCATGAAACGCAATATGAAAAGAGAAAAGTTCAATGTTTTCAAAGTTCTTTTAATATTCTTCAAACATCCATTGGCAAAATCCCAAAGCATTTTAGAGGGTATTGATATTGTAGACCTTGTTTTTAATCGCCATTTAGCGCGCACTCAATATATTTTGTATTCTCTGTAATTAAAAAACACAGGTTCACAATTTTACACATTTTGAAACAAAAACAAGTTTAGCGAGGCACTGTGGCAACCATAACTATGAAAAAAAGAACAATTTGGTTATAAATATGTTGCATGACTATTTATACAAAAAATATCCAGTTCACCCTGGTAACCTATCTTTTCAATTTGCTTCCTATACATATAAAGAAAAATTCATGTGTTTATAATTTCAAAAGAGAGGTCATGAAATTTTTAGAAACGTTTGATTTTATACCGTTGCAAAGTTTGTGGATTTTTTCAAAAACAACACTTAGGTGTGTTGTATTTTTGCTATGTTGTGTCTTACTAGAAACTTTTGCCTTTTTCTAATGTGTTTTCCAGCCTCTGTTCTGACGTATGCAATATCATCTTAGGATGATTTGACGAATAAAGTATAGAGTACGAGTCATTTGCAATCATTTACTTAATGTTTGCAATGCAATGAAATAGCGACTAATTCCGTGCTGAGATTTATGACTTAAGTCTGAGAGCTTTTTGGGCTTGAAAGAGCTCTGCGGTTATGCAGCAGGCACCAACCACCTGATGAACGCATCAGAAACAACTGGCAAATAGTACAATAGTAGTTCTGGCGGTTAGATTCGGCGATAACCTTGAGACAAGTTTCTCACCGTATATGCGCACCGAAAATCGGTGCAGTGGCGGCAGAGAAAAAGGCCTGATGTGTTTTCATATGGGATCACACGAATTTTTGCAATAGCATAATGTTTTTCTATGCTCTGACCGCGCTACCACGTTGCCCGAGATAGGTATCGGGGAGAGGCGACGTTTCCAGCACTACCGGTAGGGCAGGGAAATAATGTCTATGTGACTATGAACTAACTATATGGACCTGTTTACTTTTTTCCCAGAGGGTCTAGTTTGTGCTGATGAGGACGTTGCGTGGAAAGTGCAGAGTCAACCTACTTGACGCCATTTTTTTAAGAAGTCTGTGGAACTTTTAGAAATGTTTGCTCCAGTGTCACTGGTCTGATTTTCATACCCTTAGAGGCTTATTTCGTTCGTGGAATGGTTAAGAGGTAATGATCCTGCATAAAAATTGCATTATAATCCACTTTATAAAGAGTTCAACGATTAGCGGACTCACAGACACATACATCAAAGCAAGTTTTAAATGATGATGAAAAACAAAATTGTTTTTTTTGTGTTGAATTACTTTCCGAATATTTATTTTAGACTCAAATAAAAAGTTTGGTAGCCATTGACAATTATGATATCGTTTGGGAATGCCTTGTGTGAATATATCATTAATGCAAAATACTTAAGGTCCATATTTATACCCTTTATGGTCTCCTTGATTTTTCCTGTCCTTCAGAAAGATTTTGAAGTTATGTTACAAATATCTATATCCATCAAATTGTTCATGCTTTTGATTTTTATCATCTGTTCTATCAGCCTGAAATTTCCTGCAATTCAAAAAGAAAATATAACTAGGAGAGCGCTGACACTGACACGAAACAGTAGGAATCTAGAAATACCCCAGCCTTTTTGAAGGAGAGAAAGACTATGAAAATCAAGGAGGCCATAAAGGCGTCCTACAATTGTAGGAAAGACTGACGACACGGCCCTTAGTTACTCGGTGAAGCCTTAAAAGGTAATTTTTCATTTATGAAGATAGTTGTCGCTGCAACTATTTTTGAGCTTCCAGCGTTTTAGTTTATGAGATCTAGAGTCATTGGTAGACGTAATGTAATGGGTCTACTAATCAGTCGCCGTGCGCTGCAGGGGTTCGAATCTGGTTCCAAGAGATTTTTTATCTTGTCTATTTATGTTGTGATTGTCCGTAGGTGGTAGACGGTCTCCGACTGTCGAAGGCGGAGGTACCACCTGGCGGATATCTACAGCGGGCCGGAATATGTGCATGTTGCATTCTTTATTGATATTTAGAACAAATAAACCAAATCGTCCCAATTTTAGCATCAATATGCTAAATAGATACGGCCAGCAAAGAAAAATATTTCTGACATCGATGCCAGCTTATGAGACAATTCTTGCAGCCCACTGTGAAATGAAAATTCTAATCCTCCTTCTTCAAGGAAGCGACATTGTGTCATTGTTTCCAAGGAGAGATCCAGTGTTGCTAAGGAAGCCTCAAGGAAAGTCAATAAATCTGACTCCTAGTTATTTCAAGTGTTCCAATTTTTAGGTAGATCGGAAGACTGAACATGCTTTTCTAATTTTGTTTTCAAGTCCAACAGTTTTTGGAATCATGAAGACCTTTCATAGAAGAATCTTTGGAAGTACCCCTTTAGAAGCAACAGCTCACTACGCTTATCCACTGAAAAAAAAGCATGACAAACGTGGCCTTGCAAACTTCCGCCAGTCTTAAAATTAACAAACAAGCGACCCTCGTGACTGACCCATCACGACTAGCATCTGCCTAATGGTGTTTTAATATGAATGGGTTCCATAATTATTGTGTTACTAATCATGATAATGCTCGATCATTTATGTTAGATATATTTAGATATATATATATATATATATATATATATATATATATATATAAATTAACCTGGCTGGATGCCTTACATCCCTATTAATCACAGACACATGATAGCATTAATATCCTAAATGGGGTTTCAGATCTCTACTGCAACATCTTGATTCTATACTTAAAAGAAGTAACTCCTAGACATCAAAATGCATATTCATTAGTTATTACAATTCGTTAGGTAAGAAAATGTTTTTTTTACTACTAATCTGACCGCAATTTTACAATGAGAATTCGCTTTTCTCTTCCTGGTTAAATAATGATGATAAAAATGCATATAGATAGAGAAAGAATGACATTTAAAATTGTATTGTCAGTTTCATTATGTTAGTTTAACAACTAAACTTTATATTACAGAATTGCAAACTATTGAGAACTCGGAAGTGGCATAGCTTGTCACGTAGCTATTCTTCCAAAGTACCTCAATGATCGGAATGGTATTGGAAAACATCCTTCAACGATAACGGATTGAAAACACAACCAATCATCATTTGCACCTTACTCTCTTTTAAAATAGACCGGTCCCA